TCTCCTTGGCCTCCTTGATCAAGAGGACAGGTGACCCACCACCATTATAGGACATTTTGAGAGATGCTCATAGTCCCCTGGAAACAAAATTCTAACTTTTAAAAGTTAAAAACCTCATTTAATTTTATGTCTTATAGGGTTTATACTGAGTACAATATTGTATAACTGTAACAATTCAACTGTAAACCTAAAAGTTTACAGCCAGTTTTGAAAAAGATTCATCTTAGCTCAGAAAATTGTTATTAAATATGTCAATGCTCTTGTAATGAAATGCTTCTTCTAAGTATGTGGTTATTAAATAAATAACTGGAAAAAATTTATCAGATACTTTCAAAAGTTAGAATTTTGTCTTTTTTTTTTTTTTTACCAAATGCAACACTTTAAAGTTTTTTTTAAATCAATGGTTGTTTCATGAAGATGGCAAGTTATGAACTTTTTTTAAAGTACAAATTCAGTAGGAACGGCTAGAATACTAAAACAACAGTGCTCTGTTCTTTTAGTAAATAAATCATTAATTTGCTATACTAATTGTAATCTATTATAGTAAATGTAATTAATGGTTTATCTCCAGCTATAAATCTAAGATCAGCAAGTGAACAAATGACTGTGAAGTTCAGTTTTGTTGCACTTCTCAAGGCTGATTAGAACTTGCATGTTTGCCTCACTAGGAAAAAGTTTGCTTCTAACACAAAGAAACTTTACATTGGTGAATTAGGAGATCTGGAAATCACATATGGTCACTTTTGTTTCTAAGTATTAGGATATTTCTGTGTGAGTGGTTATGAAAGATTTTTTTATTATTGCTTATTCTTATTTATGAAGCCCTGAAACTTTGGTCATATTGCGGTGAACACATGCTCCTTAACAATCATCATGTCCTGTCAACATGTGTTCAACCAGTAACACCTAAATTCAGTGTAAATAATAGCTGTTGACTTAAAACAACACTCAACCAGCATGACAACTTTTCCTAATTGTGTAATGCTAGTTTCACTATGAAAACATAATTTTGAATAGAATCATTGTGTACAATGGTTAAACTTAAAGATTATACTGTATTGTGAATATTTTACTACAAACATTTGTCTCAGTTATCTTTTTAATACCTACCAATGTGCAAATAACACGATAATTTTGATACTCATTACTATAATCCATGATAGTACTTTTCCTTTCTCTGTCATTTCAGTTACCAAGAACCACATTCTCTGTCATCCACATCAAATGGCAAGCAACCCATACTGACATTTAGTTGTCTAAGAATACAAATATCTTTATTATTTTTCGCATTCTTTATTCTCCCTCATGCTTATCCTTTTTTCAAGTTGATTTCATGCTTCTGTTTTCCCTGCCTTTCACATTTTATATTTAGTTTCTTGCCATTAGTAACACAGTAGCATGAAAATCAGTGATAGCTTTAATTTACACAGTGGCTGAAATACCCAGAACACACAAAATCTACCTGAGTTTACATGTCCTGCAATTTGTAAGGTAGGTTCTGGAAGGGTGAGGCAAAAGATTCCATATAGGGCCTCTATTTTTTTTTTAATTTTATCTATTATTTTTATTTTATGTGTATGAGTGTAATGATTGCATATAGGTGGATGCACCCATGTCATGCACCTGCCTGGGTGTTGGATCCTGTGGAACTGGAGTTATAGATGGTTGTTAGCCACCATGTGGGTACTGGGAATCGAACCTGGGTCTTCTGTAGGAGCAGGCAGTGCTCTTAACTGTTGAGCCATCTCTCCAGCCCTGGCCTATTTGTTTTTTGTTTCTTTTCCCTCATTTTCCATGTTGCTTTGACTTGCCCATAGCTAATTTTTTATTTTATTTCTGTCATCTGGAACTCCATTTGACACTATTTTAAATGCTGGCTGGACTTCACTAGTTTACAACAGTATTACCATTTACACGTTTAATATTGGATGGAGTGAATATCAACTTGAATGCTATTTCATTCAAGAAGCCCCTCTGACTTCTTTTCCTGAAAGTAATCTTTCTTTCCTCCAAATTTCATTATACATGATTTTTACCTCCATGTCATCCATCACTTTCTAAATTTGTTTTATATTTATTTAGGCACACATCTTACCACCCCATCTAGACCATGTGTTTCCTGAGAGTAGAGTCATCCTTTAGTCACTTTGTTCTATAATAAGATAACAGTTACTAGTGATCAAATAGTTACCTATGTGTCAAGCCATTTACACAGGCAGTCCTATTTGAACTCAAAACAACTTCTACATAGATAGAATTTTTTTTTTTTTTGTCTTTTTTGAGACAGGGCCTCCTTGTAGCCCCAGCTATCCTGGAACTCACTATGTAGACCAGGCTGGCCTCAAACTCACAAAGATCCGCCTGCCTCTGCCTCCCAAGTGCTGGATTAAAGGTGTGCGCCACCACGCCCCACGAAGTAAGCCTTTTTATCTTCACTTTATAAATGAGACCCTGAAGACTAAAAAGATTAATATGTAGTACAAGACAGGAACCTGAATTCAGATTCAACTAGTCTGCCTTTAGGGTATGTTCCTTTAAGTACTGCGCCCTAGCATCCCCCAATAATAGCTCCTGTGCATTGTAGGTACTAAGGACACTTCTTTAATTTGTGAATCAATCAATGAAACAAGAAGGCTATTGGGTAGGTGTTTATAAGCCATGCCAGTTTCAGGAACTTCTGATCTATAGCACTTTTCAAGAGAGGAGGTTATTTCTATTGTGGATTGGGAATGTAGCTCAGGATAGACAGAAGGCCCTGGTGTTGTGTGTGCTCAGGGAGGGAACACGTATTATAGACCTTGGGTTAATGTGAGATTTCATGAGATTACCCAAGCCAGTACCTGGTATATAACGGGAACCTCCACCCCAGTAAGAGTAAGAACTCCCATCACTCCCATTTTGCAACTAAACTGAATGAATGCACAAAGTCAAGAGAAGAGATGAATAAATGACAGCTGGCAGTAAGAGATGTTAGGCAAATTCCACAGGGCTAAGTGACTGTGAATCAGAGGTGTCAAGTCCACTCCCAAGATTCCTAAGAGCAGTTTTCAGTCTTGCAGGAATATCT